TCGGGTGACCATTTTCCTAACTTATCAATAGTCTTAATAATTGTTGCAGCACGATGCTTAATTACCTTTGCCTGCTCGAAACTGTCTTTAAGTGCTCTCAACTGATCAGGTTCCATAGATCCTGTCACGTTCTTCCTATACCTTGCGATAAAAGGTATAGTGTTATCACTGCTGAAAAGCTTTACTACATTTTTAGCAATCTGTATATCCACATTGTTGATTTCGCTTATGTACTCAACATCAGTCCATTCCGCACAAGAGCTGAATTTTAACTTGTTTTCTATCTTTTCATCATGCTTTATCTCAATGTTGGTCTGATTTTTCTGATTTTGTTGTGATACTTCTGAATAATCAGTGAGTGATGGCTCTTCTTGCTTTTGTTTCTTGTTATTAAATTTACTTTCTAAATTTTCTTCTGCAGCCTTTCTTTTGGTAGATTCAGCATCTTTGGTCTGTGCAGCTTTTTTTATCCTCCTCTTTGGTTTTTTGTTGTCCGCTATAACTTCTATTTTTCTTTTACTTTCTTCTGGTACATAGCTTTCATCCTTTAATCCTTTAGAAAATATTTTATGCTCCTCATCATCTGAATCTGATATTTCAATTATTGGTTGATTACACTTGCTCCTTAAACTTCTTTTCATTGTAGTTTTTCTTCTCTGTCAAATTAATAAATCAATTTCCATATATATACAAACGTTTACAAGAGAAAATAGATATATTTATCTACTTTTTACTTCAAGTTCATATTCTTTATGTATTTCAAATGTAAAAGTATAAAATACTCTTTCAATCAATTTTACTATCAAGTTTCTGTAATGCCCTTATTTTATAGAAGCAATTGTTACAAAGAGAATTACATTGATAAAACATAAGAACTATTTAATAAGACCATACAAATAGATATATTACCTAAATGATACAAATTAAAATAAATGTAAATATAAACTCTGTTTGAACAACTATCCTAATCGAACATAACTAAAAATAACTGTCATCACGATTATCGGCATTCAAAGTATTTTTTTATACTTTTGCTCCTTCAAACTATTTTAACCTCAATCGCAACAGCATTATACACATATGTAAACCAAAGCATCGATGAAATATTATAAGATTCGTAACTCCGAATAAAATGTTATTGACTGTCAAATGAGGCCGACTTAAGCCGACTTGAGAATAATTCGTGAACCTTAATATGACTGGTCGTTGGTAACATTAAGGGTGCAACTTCACTTGACGTTTGTTGACTTTGCCATGTGCAATGGCCTGTGTTGCGAAGGTTGCGAATACTACGGACGTATTGGACGTAGCGCAAATTTCAAAAATTGTCTAATATAGAGATAAAATTAAAAATATAATAAAATATTAAAAATGATTGAAAGAACGACTAAGTTTGTAATAATTTGTTTAATATAATTTTTGATATTTTGATTAAATCTTTTAATATCATTTTGTATTCGTATTCATGCATATATATTAGGTTAAGTTAAAAATCTAACCTCTTCATTTCATTCTGCTGTGATGTACTGTACCGATCAATAGACTTATCACACACATTACAGTTTGTTTACTTAATATTTGTAAAATATATTTAATATATATAATGACAAATCAATATCGAAATTTAATTAGGTTATTAAGTCAACAAATAATAAAATATGGAATACTTCCCAATACAAAAAGAATTGTTGCAAGTGCCACAGAAAAAGTACAAAGCAAGATTTCCAATGTGCAAAATATTACAACTGAAAAGTATAATATTGTTGCAAAAGTAAGCAATGAACATATATATAATACACAGTTACACAATGTGTTATACAAAAATAGTTTAATCTTGACTATTCTGTGTACTTTGATAAACATATTCTGAACACATGTTTTAATCAATACTTGTTAAGATATAATTTGAAGCACTTTTTTTATTTTTATTCATTAAATTATATATTCACAATTTTAATAGTATTTATTTTAAGTTATTTTACAAATTTCTTGTTTTTAATTATTGGTTGGAAATTATTATGCCTCGATATTTTTATCATGGAAAAAATTAACTTCAAATTTATTAAGTATTTTATACTAACATTTTCTTTTGAAACACTTTGTATATTATATAGTGAACAAATATTATACATAAAATTGTTAATTTATATATTGCAGAAACTTAATGATCAAATAACCATTGTACAAGATTTAAGAGACCAGGCAGTGCCAAGTGCACCATTGCCAAAAAAAATTGTCAAATGGTGGCAGTGGTACAATCAATTGACAGGATTGGATACAGTTGAAGCAGCTAAGAGACAAGTAATCACACTTCAAGATAAATTATTTGAATATCAGGACAAAAGGAGGATATCAAGTAGGGAATTCGCAAACATTACTGAGAAGTCGAAGGACATTATGATTGAGTTAACTCAAACAAAACGGGATGATCACAAATATGTATACTTAACAAAAATGGAACATGAGCTTGCGTTACAACAAAAAAGGATTTTAAATCAACTTACTTTTTTAGAGAAAGAAGAAAAAGATATGTTCACACAGTTAGCTATTGCTACAAAAGAGTATCACGATAGTCAAAATCTAAATTCACAAAAATATAAATATTTATCTATTCTTGCGTCAGCTTTAATAGGAATAGTGTCATTAATTAGTTCAATGATACTTAATAACCAGAGAATAGTCGATGTACGAAATACTGTAGAAAAAAACCAGGAAAAGAATGAAATCTTATTTCAAGCAAATGCAAGCCAGCTGTCTAATCTATCTCAAACAAATGCGAAACAGCTGTCTGACCTTACAAAGGCAGTGAATTCGCTTCGTATCACGTTATCACAACCACAAAATATCGATAAAGGAAAGAAAAATGAAAGCAATACATCTAATATCTTCATGACTTCTGCCAAGTACTCAGTAAATCTGTTAATTTCAGGATCAAGTTATATTTATAGGGGAATTTATGCATGTGGCTCTTACATGGCAAAACCTTTTTATAAATAACAAATAACACACTTTAGATACATTATCAAAAATTATAAAAACTTTATTTCTAATGTATGATTATATGTAACATTTTATTATATACATTTTGTACTCAGTAATATAATTTCAAGATTAAAGAATGAATTATAGAATAAAAATGTTGATTAATAGAGGATATATATTTAATGTAAAATAGGGGAAGTTTACCTTTTTTATATTTTACACCGTTTACGGCGCTACATACTATATACATCATTTGCACTTATTTTCCAAATGTATTATAACATTATAATATTTGTAAAGTGTAGATATAATTAATTAAATAGGGATGACAAAATAAATTTTTAACACTGTTTGAAAGAATTATTACTTTTTTTATTATTAAACAATATGTAATATATTACAGAAAGAGAAATGTTAGGAAAAGTATGAAGTGAAAACGTTAATATACATTTTTGTCAATAAAATATATCTTACGCAAATACAACCGAATGTTTATATAATATGCACAGTTCATGATATATCAAATATGATTAATGATAAAAAATTATTTTACAAATCAAAAATTAACTCGTAAAACAGAGAACATTCTTTTTACTAGCATTTGCATTTTCCATATCACGCAAGTGTATATAAAATTAAAATAACGTTATTATTCTGTAGATTGAACACATTAAAATAATGAATGAAAAAATATGAACTGAGGGAAAACTTTACAAAATTACGGACATTTTATCGTATGATAATTGAGAATTAAATACAATTATGCATGAAAGAAACAATAAAAACAATAATATTTAAAAAATTGTTACAAGTTATGAATTCCAAGATTTCCATTCCATTCCTGCAGGTGGTTTTTTTTGCACTGGTTGTTTTTCTACTTCACCCCAATTGGTACTTAAAACAGTGCCGCCAGATTCTATCTATATTACAAAATTAAATATCTCTTATAAATATATTAGACCTGCGGTATTCAATGTTTCACATGCACACATTTGTATAAGTTTATCTGCAAAATGACACTTTTGAAATTTAACGTGACAAATTCAGAATCTCATTTTTTACAATAAATAATTGTTAATACATGATTTTTACTCGTTAACATACAATAATATACAATAATATACAGTTAACATACAATAATTTTATAAGTAATTTGCTTCAGAGTGTATTTCATAGAAAACAGAGCTTATACAAGTGTTTTATCCACAATATGTGTGATACAAACTGTATTCTACTGTCAATTAGATCTTTATTTAATTTGTCAACAATAAACATTTTACTTACAAAAGATTTATTCATCGCACGTCTCACTTCATCCGATCCACCACCATATATTTTTTGGAAAAGGGAATTTATTGCTGTCTCACTGTCTGTTAATTCTGCTGCCTCCTGTTTCTCTATTTCCTTTTCTATCTTATTCCAATCCTTGTATATTTTACTGGAGCTTGGATATTTACACTTTCGTTCAATACCTGATTCTTAAATAATACATGCAAGTATTAGATAATAATTACTTAATTTATCAAACAAAAATTATGTTTTAAATTAAATTAAAAAATGTGAAGTTTATGATTTTTATCTTATTTTTTATAACTATTAGCAACATAATAAATTTTTAAAAACTTAAATTAATATTAAATACATTAAATGTTACATAATTTTTATATAAATCTTTTTATTTCTAATGCTAAAATTATATTTCTACTGTATTTTAAATATTATATTTCTACTATATTGTAAATAAAATGTTTAATAAATAAATGACATTAGATAAGCGAAATTTAGAATTTTATCTGCACTTGTTAATGTAATTACTAAATTTTCTATTTAGCACTTGTACTTTATTTTTGTATAAAGTAATAAAAGATTTATAATATACTTACCACTTGGTGGTTCCTTTGCATTTAGTACATCTGGTTCTCCTTCTAACGTCGGCCACATAATATCCTCTTGCTTTTTCAGTTTGATTTCTATCTTAGATGCTAATACTTTGTGATAACATTGTTCAACTATAACTGGATAAGCCAAATTTATTTTTAAACTATATTTATTATTAAATGGCAACTGAGCAGATACACTTAGCTGAAAAATAAGAAAAAAATTCAATCTAACAGCACCGGTATATAAGTCATTTTTAAACCATTGATTTCAAATCAAATCGTTACTGAAATATTTTGTAAAAATTAAGGATAATTTTAACTGTAAAAAATTAACATTCAAATATTTTAAATACAATCAAGACTTAAAAACTTGTGTTGCTTGGAAAATACAAAAAAAAATATCGAACTGCTTAGAATTATTGTGAGATACAATATTGCTTGCTGAAACATTTTCATTATTTTCTAGTGAACAAATTAATAGAAACTACAATATATACCGTATTTGTTTCATAATTAACTTCCACATCCATTGATTTTTTTGCGAGTATTGACACAAAAATGTGAGTTTCTGTTTGATACCAATCATGCTTTATCTGCAGAAAATTCGACGTCTACAAAAATAAAAAATTATTCGATTTTGAGATCTCATCTGAGGTTATTTTGCTATATTACATTTATATTCGCGCTTACTTTTATTGTCGCTTTCATTTCGGGTTCCTTCTCGGATTCTACTTCGAAGTCCTCTTTGACACTATCCATTATATTTTCTTACTTTTCGGGTGTGCAAAATGGTAACATAACATTCAATCAGCAGTGGCAAGTACGACCTTTCTTGAAGCTTTGTATCATACAATATCAAACATAGAGAATCTTGCAACAGATTGGATATCGAACAAAGACAGAATGATACTTGTGTCGACTTGTCATTAGCTGGAAAGCGGCCATTATAATCGCTCAACGGACGTAGCGCGAATTTCAAAAAGTATCTAATATTGAACTAAAATTTAAAGTATCGTAATCATAATCATTTTGTTTTTGATCAAACTGAAATTATAACTGAACCAAAATTTCATATATTTCATTTATCAAAAAATTTTATATAATATCGGAATCATAACCAGATTGGTTAAATTATTTACGGTTTTTTTAGTTTTCTTTTCGGTTTCGGTCCGCTTCCGGTCAGAGTCCCTACAGAACAAGATTTAGTACAATTTTACAAATGTTTCAAAACCAATTTATTAAGAATTTTATACTAATATTCTGGAATACTTTGTATATTGGACATTTTGGAATACTTTGTATATTGTATATAGAACAATTGTTACATAAAATTAATTATTTTAATTTTTACGTTACAGAAGCTTAATGATCAATTGAAAAAATTGGACACAGTTAATGAAGCCAGGTGGCACATCAAGCTTGAAGATGACTTGTTTAACAATCAGAACATAAGATTCAAACAAAATATGAAAAAAAAAAAAAATTATTACTCTTTAATTAAAGAAGATTATGATTATGTTGGATAAAACAAAACGGAATGATCAAAATTATGAACATTTAGTAATTATGGCACATGAGTTTATGTTGTAACAAGAAAGGCCTTTAAATCAATTTACTTTTTTAGACAAAGAGAGAAGAGATACATTTACACTGTTAACTGCTACTACAAAAAAATATAGAACGATAAATAAAATCTAAAGGAACAAAATACATATAATTTATTTTTATGTTGGTGTTAATAAGAACAGTGTTAATAATTCATTCAATATTAATTAAACAGAGAATAGATGTACAAAATATTATACAAAAACTAGGAAAGGGACAAAACTTTGTAAGATAATAAATTTTCGCACCAACAATGGCTCGACATGCTCTAGTATTACATTTATCTAAAGTTATTTATGAAATTAAATATAGCATATGGAACTTTAAAACTAAATCAATGCACTAATGCCTTTAGTATTTATAAGTTTTGGAGGATGTTAATTATATACTGGGTAAACTCAATGCAAAAAATCATTTTTATATTTTATCAAATAATTTTATTCATTAATGAAAGTATTTGGAATGATTGAGTTTTGCAATGAGCAATTTTGTGCACGAATATTTATATTTACAATCTTTATTGTGTAATTCGATACTTACCTTCAAACTGGATGGAATTATTCGTAATTATAAGAATTATATATCTTCATTTTTGTCTAAATTGAATTTATATATAAACAATTGATGAAATATAATAATTTTCAATAATCTAATTCATTGACACATGTTGAAAAGAAAACAATAAGAAGAATGATACATTGTACTGCTCATTATTATAAGAACAGTTTTAAATAGATACAATAGATAAAAGTCAACAGCCAATCGAGTGAAGTATCCTACAAGACTTATGAATCATACAATATAGATACCTATTCGTATCGTACAAGTTACAAATATAGTTTCATTTTCGAATGAAAAACTCTGAATATCCTCGAAAATTACAAGCTCCTACTTATTGTATCCGTCTACCGCGTAACGAGCCTTTAAAACAACAAGAGCTAGAAAACAATGCTAGAGTTCTACGTACAAAAGAAGAGGATTTAAAAGTTAGAATAAGATGTTTCTTTTTTTTCCCATACAAAACATAGCGATTTTATTCTACAAATAATGGGATAAATTTTGGTTATAGTTATTTTTTGTTGGAAATTTGCATGGTTTGTTTTTTTTTTTCTTTCTGTCTAATCGCGCCATTCAATATGGTACATTATACCATCGCCGGTGAGTAGTATATTCAATAATATTAACAAATAGTGTAACACTCATGATAATGCTGATGAGCACGACGTATTCCTTCGTGAAAATCATCATGGCAATGGATGCATCAAACGGCGGTGCAGCAATGTAGGCGTAAGTGCCGGGTCGTTTACGATCGGCCCGAATAATAACGCTGTCGTTACGTTTGACACCAAGCTCCTGTCACAAGAGACGCTGACGCTGACACTGACGCTGCTATCGCCGCCAGCTGCGCGGTTCACCATCCTCATCTTCCTCCTCCTCGTTCTCCTCTAAAAACAACGCCTCTGCCGCACCCTGCAAATTCAAATCACATTTAGGCTGACATTTTCTCGATTAGGGTCAACGGAAAAAAGCTATTTTTATAATCACTGTCGCACGCAATTAACTAAACCTTTTGCTATGTAAAAAAATGGCATCCATGTTGTATCTTATATAATTTCGAAGATAGATCGATCCCGTGTAAGACAAACGAAGATTTTTCCTGTTAAATTTTTTCCGTCTTCTCGCGTATTTGCGAAAATCCAAATCAAAGCCATTGCTGAAAAGTCTTCCAACAATCTTTAACTCGACTGAGCAATGTGCAAATCAAAATGGCTTAAGAAACTTAGCCAACTTTTCCAAATTTAAATTTAATTGCATAAATTATTAAGAGAATCGGAATTATGAATTCTATACTTACTTCCAAGTCGATATCCTCGTCTGTCGCAGGTGCAGCCTGTTCAGAACGTGATGACAGTTGTACAGCTGCACTTGAGTTACTACCGGCACCTCCGCGATGCAAATGATGACCGGACACCCAAGTTATTGACAACAGTCTGTCTTGAAATGTGCGTCCTTTCACCAGAGCAACCTCAGCTTCTTTTCTTGATTTGAAATTTATCACGATCGAAGGAGTTGCGTCGTCTACTATTTGATTTATTATTTCACCAAATTGCTAGAATACAAGAGAAATTAGAAACATTAATTATATATTCACACACTTAAAATGCAATTAATTAAAAATATAAACAATAATAAGCTCTAGTTACACGCTTAAAAGACTAACGCAAATATTGGATAGCGGAAAAGAATAAAGTAGTTTTACACATCGAGTTTTGACTGTTTCTAAGAATTAAATGCAAAATAAAATAAATTTTTCACAAAATTTTACACAACAGACATTCTCACAGAAAAGCATCTTCGATTCCGAGTTGAAAGAAAAACACTGCAAATGTACAAATCTTACTTGGAAATGTGCTAGGACCTCTGTTTTCTCCTCGGTTTCGTAACCAGAGACTAGAAGACTCGTTGGCCGATGATCCACGGAGACATGAGCGAAGCTTCCTCTACCACGGCCCCTGTACGATAACGCGTGGGTGGCGCGCGCGGCTCGATTGGTTCTCGTGCCTCTACCGACGCCGGAATTCGTGTTCAAACCCAGCGCGGCCGCTTGGGCACGGAGCTCGTTCAATCTCTTCTGCAGTTCGCCAGCGTCCTGGCCCTCCTGCTGCGCGGTCATTAAATCTAACTCGGCGTCCAATATCTCCTTCTGCGTTTGCTCTCTAGATTTTACCTGTGACTTGTTACCGCCGATCTGACCGTTCGCGGCCAAATCCTTGCGCAAATTGTCGATCGACTGCTGCATTGCCTTTATCGTTTGCATGATCGAGTCCTTCTGCTCCGGATTCTTCTCGGCCTTGTCGATTAAGACGCGCAATTCGATCAGATGCTTGTCCAGTAGTTCCTGTTTCCTCTTGCGCAAATCCGCGGTCAGCTTTATCGCCTCCTTGCGCTTCTCCTCCTGTTTCTTCTTCAGCGTTTCCTTAGCCGCTAGTATCTCCTGTGTCTTCTTTATCGCGAGAACTTTGTCTTCTCGAGTAGGAACGACGGCAGCTTTCGGTGAAGTCGGAACTGAGGTTTGCGACACTTGCTCCTCGGTTGAACGACGTGTAGGAACGTATTCGTTATCCTCAACCTTAGCCGGTAGTGTTACAGCGGCGCCTAGTCTTTCTTTCACAGAAGGACGGCATCCTGAATATAAAAGAAATTTGATATTACGTACATTGCCTTTGCGATGTTTATATTTATTGTGAAATAATGAGTATGCAATCTCTCGTCTTACCTGGCGGTACATTTTCAATAGCTCCGCCAGCCGCGTTAGTATTGACATTATTGTGCCAAAATACTTTAATAAATCTATTATTCAACACAGCCTCCGTGCTTCTGTAAGCAGCCTTTGCTTCAGCTGGTAGCTGGAAGGTGACCAACGCCGCCTCAGGATCACCGCCGAAAGTAACTTGAATATTTACAATTTTACCGAACTTCGAAAAATGATTATTCAACTGAGTTATATTGTTTAAGCTCCGCGGGACCTTTTTCAGTTCGAGTGAGCAATTGGCCGGGTTATGTACCACTCTTTGTTTCGGTCCCAAACGGTTGAAGTCAAACGCTTGTTTACGCTTCAGCGGATTGCTTTGGGTGTGGGTTATTTCCGAAGAGTTTGTGTGTGGGATAACTGGCACACTGATTAATTCTCTCTGCCCCCTGCCGTAGATTCCTGGCGCGGGTTGCGGGTGCCTTCCCCACGCCATACGCGGCTCCATGCTGGGTGCATCCGGATTATATTCTGCAAAAGCATCTGACATACTTAATGCATTATACATCAATGCACTTGTCATAAGATACAACGTTGTAATATAACTTTTCTACGTTGTTCAATTTATCAGGCACTCTTATCTCAATTTAAATTAGAATTACAAATTATGTTTTTAGCGGTTTGGTCAAAATTTCAAAGTTAATCGAACTTCAGAATTTTTATCCGCCTCAGCATAAGACACAATTAATCCTTTTATTATTGCTTTACGATAATGATACATTGAACAACTGGGAGAATTAGAAATTGTCAAGACACACGGAAATACATACCCATATTAGAATGGTGGTTTCTTAAATGTGGTGGTGGTAAACTGGCAAGAGGGAGGTGTGGCGGTGGCGGATTGCCATTAGGACCCTGCGGTGGTTCCGGCACTGTGGCCACTGGAACTGTTCCCGGAGCCTGGGCGCTATGCGGTCCAAAGCTCAGAACTCGACTCAGAGCCACATCCTCTAACACAACCGGATCCGTACCGTGATCATAAGGGCAAAGATCTCCCCTCATGCAATATCCCTTTTCTGCAAACATACGTACAATGACAGATAAACTTGAATACCGTTTGTCTAAGCAAAATTGGACACCGCTTCTTTCTCGCGAATTTACGAATAATTATTTTCACATTCAACTATTTGAAAAAGAAATAAACTTGTTTCAAACGCGACAGTTTTGTCGAGATACACACCGTCGAAATCTCTGCAGCGTCTCTTCGCTTGTTGTGGAAAAGAGCTCGTCTGATTATTTGGAATACTACTCGCAACAGCGACAACGCTTTGTATTGATTGACTAGTCGTAGACAGCCTCATGTCCACATCCCCATGATTACTATCTTGAGTCGGTGTGCCACCACCAGGACTTCCTTCGATTCGGTCCGTTCTATCCATCTCCATTCTCTCGAAACGATCAATCTTTTTACGCTCAATTGATCTTGAACGCGATCGAGATCGCAGCGGAGTCGGGGATCGATTCCTGAACCTTGCTCGATGGTCGCGATTGTCTGGACCATCACGTATCCTAGATCGTATTGGTGATGTACTACGGCTTCTAGAACGCCTGAAAATGAAGAATGTACAGTAAAGCATGTTTAGAAAAGAGGATTGTCCGTGAATATCTTAAAAAAATAAAAAAAAAAACTATATCTTTCAAAAAGAATTTCAAAGCTAAAATAAATATAATTTATTATGAGCACTTTGTAATAAAATTAAATTTTCATTAAACATCATTAAATATTATGTTTCAAATGCAAACGTACCTGCGATCATGTCGCCTAGTACTAATAGGCGGAGATTCATTTCTCCATGGCCGACTTCTGTCTCTTTCTCTGTCGCGCCGAAGGTGTTCTCTACTCCTGGATCTACGCCTATCTCTTTCCCAGGACCGTGATCGCGATCGTGTCCTTGATCTCATTCGACCACTCCTGCATTTTCCATACCACAGAATAAAATTAAAATTCAAAATATTTTTTTTTATGAAAAATTAAAAAACCACAAATTTTTAATTTTCACAAGCTTCTCTAGTTATAAACGTTATACTGTGCTTTTTTTTTACTTTTTTAAAAATATAAAATTACCATACCTGCTTCGAGAACGTTTTTCTTTCTCTTTGTCCTTGTCCGAATCAGATTTTCTAGTCTCGCGTTTACTAACCACAGCTGGCGCAGATCCATTGATTTGAAGTGGAGGAGGAGGATTTGTAATCATAGGTACTAGCGAAATTGTTGTATCTATTAATTTTTCCGTCGCTGATGGTACTACTGGTGCTGGTGGATTTATACCGGGCGGCGTCCCACCACCGTCTGGGTTACTTTTAGGTGGTGGGAGTATGTACTCTTGAGTTTCCAACGTTTTAAACAGCAATTCCACGAAGCTTTTGGTTTCTGAAAGCAGCAATGAATGTTCAACATATAGAATAGAGATAATCAAATTTTTTATTTATATCAACAGTGAAATTTTGCACAAACAAACCTTGTTGCAAGAATACATCCAATTGCTCGACCATGCCAACACGTAATTCTTCCAAAGTCTTGTCTTTCTTAACCAATGCATAGACATATTTAGCCAGGGCAGCAGGATCTGCATCGCATCTAATAAAAAAAATTAATTGATTAATTTTTAAGCGCTTATTACATGAAAGTAAAGCAAAAAAAATCATAATATTCATGTAGAATAATTCATATTCATAATTCTAAAATTGATGAAATCTTTACATTTGCTCATTTTCTTTTTAATAAAAATTTGTTCACTAACTTTCTTAACAATTTTATATAATCTTCAATTTTACTATTATACAATTTTCTATTAAAATATTTAAATTACAAAAAATTCTAATAAAAAAATGTTTTGTGCATTATCACATCATATAATGTTTCACTTATCATTTGTCTACTGCACAGTAATAAAAATAAAATTTAACACATATAATTTTAGAATTTTTGACCAAAGCAATATCTAACAAGAAAAAATAGATGCTTGATTAAGTTATTTTCAAAAACAAAACATAAATTCTACATATTATTTCTGTCTATATCATCCTTGACTTATTCTGCAAGGTAAACTGAATGTCAATGACAATAAACAATATGCATTTACACATATATAAAGTCAATTTAAAATAAATATTAAAATTAAATATTAAAATAAACTTTCAAAATATCTATTATCTGTGTAACAGATATTAGTATTTGATAAAACTATCTTTCAATTATCTGAATCAATACCGAACATAATAAGCTACAGTCATTAAAAACAAAAATATTGAAATTTTTTATTTATGCAACTTAATAGCGTGATACGCATTTGCTGTTTTACATACTACATATTACAAGAACACACACAGAGGAACAATACCTTCCAATCCCCAAACTTATTGTTTACATGCCTACTTTTTAATTGACAAATAAATAAAGATGCACAGATAGTCAATCTAGATTTACAGGCAATTGTAACAGTGTCATGTAGCTGACAGAGACAGGATGTGAAAGGGCATATCACGTCAAACAGTGCTTTGCCCGGTCGCATACACAGGCAGGGGGTGATAATCGGTAACACCCCAAATAAATAGCATACCACACGCGGCGAGCGGGTTTCACCACATGTACGGCCATTTACAATATCAAACGCGTACACACATACGCGTTATAAAAGCACACCTCGAGTCCAAGCTGGCCTACTTACAGCGGTTCCAGGACGGCAGTCAGCCACGCCTTGAATTGCTCCGGATTTTCGATAATCATCTTCAACGGAGTACGCGACACGGGCACACAGACAGAACACGGATGCACGTTAATCGCACGAGTTTCACGAGTGAGAATAAGTACTTCCTAAGTAAAGACAGTCGCCATTCTGAAATCAGTCGCTGTTAGAAGCACGTAACAGTCACGCGTAGCTAGAACTGTACCGCTACCGAAAAACTCTTACGGAAACAACTGCTGCCGCCGTGGGTTCAGAATCGTAATCCGGTCCCGCTCATAACCTCTGTGGAAACATGGGGAAAATACCTGTAACCGACGACACGTATACCTGAACCAAACATTCGATTTTCCCGAAAAATCGTGAAAGCCACGATGTAAGAATGTAAAAGTTTGTTCGCGTCGCATGTCCCAACGTGCCCGTCACATTACATATACTATAGATTGAAGCGTGTTGGAGCATGTTGGGACACGCGACGCGAACAAACCTTAAGGTGATTCGACGGTAATGAATTTCTGTGATTTTCCTGAAACCGTTTCACATTGAGTCACTAGGTGGTTACTTACGGACTTCACTGAACTCTATACAAACTGGACAGCGTCTTCCCATGTAAGCGTAAACGAGTGGTCAGCAGAAAGAAGCAGTGGGATTGTCGTCTTCTTTTTTTGCTTGTTGAAAGCCTTCTTCATTTTTAATATACATATGCATAGAATGCGTATAGAATATACATGAGTATACACATGACATGTAATTTTCTCAAAGTGTTAAAAATTTATTTTGTGTAATTATGAAATATACGTAGTCATTAATATTTGTGTTGTAAGTCTTGATTTTGATCTCTATTGAACCAATTGTGTCTACAATTTACAACTGGAATTACAATGTTATAAAACACATGAACATATGAAACATTTTATCCAAGTTTTCATTACATTATATAAAAAAGGTAAAAAAAAACTTCCTGTTTTATATTATTAATATATATCCCCTATTAATCAACATTTTTTTTCTAATATATTCATAAATAGCATATATTATGTATATGTAATAGTTATATAACATACATATTACAGCATAAATCTTTTAATAATTTATCTATTTAAATTCACCATTTTCCAGGCTTCAAGATTTCAAAATGTGTTGAATGTAATTGAATGTAATTAACTAACGTATCTCCATGCAAAATTGGTCGTCAAATTCTAAAATCCTATTTTAAATTTACTAAAGTTTTACATTACTCTAGTTTTACTCTAGTTAAGATTATTAAATTGACTAGTGCACAAAACAGTGCGAAAATGTTACTTGTTACACTTTATTTTATAAATGGCAAACTTGGAAGATAAACTGACATCTTTTTAAAAACCAAGATATTTTGTATACAACATAAAGTAATTCCAAATTTCTTACGGAGCTAGCCAGCTGGCTAACAAACTACCTAACAATAATTGTGCAACAGGTAATATCGTCAATGGTAAATTTACTGCTGGTCCGTAAGCCGAGCCGTGATACGCGCCTCGCAAGATCCAGCCGCCGAGACCAACAGATTTGTGGGTGCTGGTGAATAATGCAGCTAACAGAATATTCCGCGGCAGCCATTGAGAGCACAAGATCCAACATAAACTGCTGAGCAAGAGCTGGCCGACGCATGCTGGAAAAGATGAGCATAGCTGAACATACAGGACGAAAGGGTCCTTCAAGAATGGGAGAATCAAATCGGAATAAATAATTTACCAATAAGTACGCAGAATAGTATATCGACTGCTTGTAACGATGAAGCATCCGCCAAAACAGCGTCGCAAAACCAGTGATACGCTATTGCGAGCAATAACGTTGGAGAAAACCATTCTGTATTGAGACTCAAGTATTTGTCTTTCAGTACGTATAGGCGTAGCATGATACCCACAGCCAGTGGGATAAGTGTGCTGTATACAGTCTCTCTGAGATTAATCCCAACCAGCGGTGGAGTGGACGTTCCTAACTATTATAGAGAAATTATTTATAACTTTTTCTAGAAACAAACTAAACCCTTAAATTTATTGCTAAGATTATAAGGTTGAAATAATATATAAATGTGGTAAGATAGATGTCCATAATCATTACAGAAAAGTTACAATTTTTTCACTTTCCGGAAGCCTTTCATTTTGATGTTGTAATTATATTACTTTTGTAAAAAAGAGCTTACCATAAGATACAGTAAAAGGGGAGATAAAAATAATCCTCCAAAGTGGGACACCAAAGTGGTAATTACACTTGTAGGCAAATCGGCTTGTGCCAGACGACACAAAGCAAGTCCCGTACTAAATGGTGGTGGCATGCAGTACAATACCTAAAAAAAGAATTGTCATGTTATTTGCAGCTATGTGCAGTCAAATTTAGCATATCTATTTAATCTATTAGAACAAAAAATTAATCAATAATTAGAAATACTTACTTCTATGCCTTTCAATAACCATATATTAACTTTCGCATAGGTCAATAAATACGTTCCAATTCGTGCTAAAAAGGGCATTAAAATGTATATGAAAGTCATGACGAATGACAAGAGATAGCCATCTCTTAATGTTGAATACAGCGATTTAGGGTCGCATAATAATCCAGCTTCCAAATATGTTAAAGGCACAGCAAAATAGCGAATAATAAAGTTACCGTTGATTAAACCTGTGACAAGAAAGTAGTAAAATAGTACACTTGTAATCAACACGAATAAGATATGCACGTATTATTATTAATTATTAAATTAAATTAAAATATTTGAAGAATTACATACCATTTGTTCCACCAATATGCGGTTGAATAGATGCAAGCACCATGCATGCAAGCATTAATAAGACATATTTATATCGATAGAGAAGATTAGTTTTTTTTCTGGGTTGTGCATTAATTGGAATGAATTTTATACACATTTTCAATTATTCTGAATCATACCTAAATAAGAAAAAATTCATGTAATATTTTTTTGTATCACGTAGCATTTTGAAGTGAAAAAATTATTTGTATATATAAAATATAGTATACATATATATATATATATACAAGTTAAAAAATAATTCTTGATGTCTTACCTAAAGAAACATGCGTGAAAGCTAAATGTTCAGGCTGCATAGAAATTGCTAATAAAACTGCCAGTGAAAAGAGCAAAGACAAACCAAACTTTAATTTTTCAACTTCAAAATATCAGTACAAGTAGCATAAATTCATCCATGTGTTATCTATCATCTTAGTGATGTAAACTCATCGAGTAATTTGATTCTCCATCATTGCAAGTTAATGAAACTTATATAACTAAATATTAAAAATATTTTTGAGGAAATAAGAAATATAGAAATTTGTTATACGAAAAAATTTTAATTCTAACATCTTGGTGCAAGAAAATCACTGCAAATGTGTCCTATATAAATTATTAGTATTGTAATTTGAGTACATTTGATTTTTTGAATTTTATCACAGAAAAGAATCAGTACTAGAAAATAGAAAAATATTTGCTATAGCAAAAAAAGAGATTTCTTTAAAAACATATTTATTATAACAATTAATTTTAAAGCACAAGCCTCAACTTTGGTGCCTTATACATATGTAATTATCACTATCATCCGTCATCATGCTATATAAAAGCATATTATTCAATATCTGAAAGCAAATGAGAACGAGCCAGGAAGAAACTGTTACTTATTTGTAAAATGAAAAGTACTTTTTGTAATACTTTTAAGGAATTGAAACGGTGCTTATCGAATAATAGAATATTTTTTATGCACAAATGTTTATTATTTATTAAACTGCTATTATTACATGCACTATTACATAATTGTATTACTATCTATTTGATAAAACGTGAGAACATTTTCATAAAAACTATAGTGAATCTAAGAAAGATTTTTCATGAAATTATTACAAAAGAACTATTGTAACTTTAATAACATGCAGAGTTTATTTACGACATTGAAGGTTATGATTAGTTGGAGATTGTAATACACGGTTTGCAGAATTAAATTATTATTCTTTATCTAATTTTCCGTTTCTGTCGTGTTTGATGTTAACAAAACTGCACTGAGAGAACAAATCAGTATTTATCACAAATCGTCACAAATACGAGCCAAAATCCTCTCTCTCATCTTCAGACAGAATTTCCGAATACGTTCAAACAAGAACATAACCTCTTTCTCTAGAGAGAGAATTCAATATATGATATAAATATTTTAATATAATTCTTTCTAAATTATTAATTGATAAAATTATAAAAAATTTTATGTTTTATGATACAATATTTTTATTAATCAAATAAATAAAATTATGCTGATGAATTTTATTTAAACAATTAGTTTTATCTATAATCATTCTCCTGATAATATATATGTAGTCTTCAAAAAACACAATAAATTCTTTAGTCAAATTTCTTACATTATTGTATTCTTACGATATTCATATGTGTGTGGTACAAATAGAACATCTGTTTCACCTGGAAAAAGTATAACTTTATTTTAAAATTCCTCTCCAATGATTTTGTGCGCCGTTACAAAAATTTCATACGAGAAATTTGATTTCCTGTCTTTTCTGTGATATCGTTAACGTATATTTACATATACGTCTACACCGCCCATCATGCAGCATTAACATCTTTTTGTACCTTCTTACTCAATTTTAAAATAACTTATCTCAAGATCGGTATGGGCAAATTCAACGACGAACGAAAGATGCAAACCATACAACATTAACAATTTTTTTTTTTCAATCACAGTATGTGATATTATATTCATTGGAATTAAATGAATCACGCTAAAAAAAACTTAGACTTTTATACAAATTCCTACAAACGCTGTAACTGATACACGCAGGTAGCAATATGTTTATCAACGTTTACCGAAAATATTCTAATTAAAATACTCTGTAAGCCTTGTGCAAAGCAGCATTTTTTTTCGTGAGCATTTGTTCGCGATTACATGATGAAAATTTTAAGAATCGGAAGTAGTCGTGTTCATTATCTTTCATAATAATATTATTCTAATAATAATAATTAATAATAATAGATAATAATAATAATAAGTTTAATAAAATGTGAATACCTTGATAAAAGGAGGATGCAAACTTTTTGAAATAAGTGTATCAGGAGCAGAATGATTTTACTCTCCTCCCCTAAGTAAGATATTCACATATTTTTTTACATAACGCTGTATTTTTTATACACGTCTTAAGACTAGACACACTGCACGGGTGTCTAAAATGCGATTGGATTTCTTTCGTACGTATCATAACACTCGATAACCGAGCTGCAAGATCTAGCGAATCTTGTCACATCGTCGACATAAAAGAAAAAAAAAAAAAGATGTAGTTTGTATCACAAACTAGCCGTGGACACCGTACAATAAAAATACGTAGAATACGTCAGATCTATTATAACCAGCAATATACAAAGCATAGATTGACTCGCATGCTACGTTCATTAGAATAAACAATAAGACCAAAAGGTGTTACAAAGTTGAGCTCATGAGACACGCTTCAATATTTCTTTTGTGAGCACGAGGTACATGCAAGAAATTGTGTTAACTTGTATTATATATTATTTTAATCGATCAATTAATACGCAAGTTAGTAGACGAACCGATTCCTTTATAAATTAATTAATTACATATTAATCGTGTTAATTTGTATAGTTTTAGAACGTTTTAAAACTGTGACAAATGGTACAAACGATCAATTGTTCATGCAAGGAACATGCGAGGAAATGATACATGGAACCGTTGATCTTAAATTCTACCACACTACAGTTACAATCCTACAGTTCATGCGTCGACCTAACGCTTAACGACAAGTCATGCTCCATAAACGTTTCTTCTCGAAATACTATTCTTAAGAAACACACACACTCTCTTTCTTTCTTTCTTTCTCTCTCTCTCTCTCTCTCTCTCTCTCTCTCTCTCACTTAATAACATGTTTTCAATCCTTCATGCTTGCAAAAGATGAAAATTTCATGAGCTCCCCTTGTTTGTATCAAAAATTCGAAGTAATGATATTTTAACATGCCTTACAACATAGCAAATTGACAAAATGAAGTTTAAAATTATGGAAGATCGATAAACTGTAACATCTTCGAGAAATCATCAAATCTTGCAAAATGAGTTTTAACACGTGTCATCGTAAGAAGCACGAATCTCCATTGTGATATATCTGTTATTTGCAAATTGTTCCTGCCGTGAGAATAAAGACTTCGATTATGACGGTGCGTGAGTTAATGGCACAAAATATAAATGTAGAAAATATAAAAGCTGCGAGAACTATTAATTTTATCAGTGATACATTTCGCAAGCATGACGTTCAATTTCAGCGTAGCGTTGTCATTAATGATAAGAAAATTTAACTGGCAAATAAATACCATTTCTGTGAAATAAATACCATTTCAGTTGTTTCACTCGGTTTTGCAAAATTAAATAGTACTCTTTTGAGGATTAGTTATCGGGTGTGGACAAAATCATTTGATAAAGTTATTTTACAGTCTTCGGTAGATTAAAATAATTTAACGATCACGCGTTTCATTTTTTGGAATATACATAAAAATAACGAGGAACGTTGACTTTGAATTGTGAGCGGAAAGTAGCAGAAAGTAGTTTAAACATTATGTGGCCTTAATAATTGATTAATCAGAAACCGAAATAGAAAATTATTAATTATAAATTATCAATATAATTTGCATGATGCTGCAATGCGAGATTAGCTTTAGTTTTGTTAGCTTTACAAATAATGGATAATAAAAAAAGGCACTAGTGATTAGCTACGTAATTAACAGCGTATTGTGTAAAATGTAATAGAAAAATATATTCGTCAACCTGAGATTTCGCGTTATAGCTACTCTTAAGTTACATCTTAAAGGCAAAGGTAATTACGTTCCCATTATTTTTTTTTGTTTTTTTTTTGGCAATACTGTGAAATAAAAAGTCAATAATATCGACAGGCATACGTATGGTCGGAAATCGTACTTATTATTTTCGTACAAGTTAAACTTGCTTTCAGTACAAAATAGTCCGTGTAAATGTTGCTTAGATTGTAAAGGAAGCATTACAATCGACAAACGAAAAAAGAAAAAGAAAACGAAAAATGATTAAAAGTGTACAAGAACAATTTTTGTTGTTATTAATGCAATTAGAACATTTGTTCAGTCGTGCATTGTCATGTTTACAAAAAAAAAAAGCGTTGTTCATAAGGTATAAAAGAAAAATATTCAAATGTTAAGATAATTATAAACTTTGCAATCCCTGAAAATTGAAAGTTTTCTGAATCTTAAAAGTAAATTTTGTGCGTTCAAGGTTGTAATAGATATTTCAATTAATTTACATGCAATGTTTCCAGATCATTCTTTCTTATTACTCCGCATGCACTGCACACCGAGATAGAATAAAATTGCATTAATTGAAACTTTGCATCAGAATAAGAGAAGTTTTAGAGTCCAGTACATAAGAAAAGAAATGGATAAATAAGAGAAATCCTATCAACGTTGAAACAAGAGGAATGGACATTAAGTTGGTCTCAAAACCTTTCTTACTGCACAAAATTAGCCTGCTATAATGCAGTTTCATCCCATCTTGCGATGATCCAAAAGCAACTTTCTAGCAATCGACTCTATTTTCAGATTATATTGTCACATGTCGGAAATTTCGCGAATTACACGACCTTGCTTCCTCAGAGTTTTCTAATACTGCAAATTTACTTGCTATAGTCTGGTATACTAACGATTTTCTTCTCGACAATCAAAAAAGATGCACGACCGGTATGATAGTATTAAGTATTAAGATAAACATCGTCTACAGCTATATCATAAACAATCGTTAACGCATTACCCTCATCATAGGAAGAATGTTTATCCACAACTGCGCGTATGGCATATGAGTGTCCTATCGTCGGGATAATCATACTTAAACTAGATACGATATCACATGGCAAGGTGTTGTAGGAAACCAATCGCTCCCCTAATTTCACCTTTCAACCCTACCGTTTTGCTCTGTCATAAACTCAAGGAAGATTCAAAAATTTGTAGTGCTATTACTACGATTGACCTTTTTGCCTATAACGCGGGATGACGCCATCCTGATAGCTATCGGTCGTAACAGTCGACTGCTATTGTTACCCTCGGCTCCAGGGGCGACATTCGGTGCAATATTCTTCAGATACATCGCTGCATCGTGGAGTTGTTTGGACAAAATCTCATTCTTGAGTTTCTCGGCGTTCAGTTCCCTTCGAAGTTGCGCTTTGGTCTTATTTCCGAGCGGGCACAAGACCCGGTGTTGTATCAAAGCTATCGCCGAAGGTCTCATTTCTGGGTTGGGGTGAATCATCAACTGCAAATGCGACAAAAGAATATCGTCAGGAGTGAAATAGATTTTCTCGGCAACAAATGTGTGTTTGTTGTACGAGATGTTCGATAAATCGAGCGGAAAATAATATAGCTGCGGTTGCTTTATTACTTAAGTTTCAGAGAACTTGAAAATTTTATAGGTCGCACCTTTAGCAAGCTGTTAAGATCGCGACTACAGTGCGACAATTCTTGCAAATTTCCTAGTCGAATGTCATGCCACGCAGGTCCGTTCTTCGGCAGGGGTCCGCCACCGCCCGCCTCGTAAACGGTCAGTCCTAGGGCGAAAATATCGGCTTTCGGCAGATGACTGAAATCGTCCCGCAGGATTTCCGTCGGCAGGTATCGGCAGTCGCCCTCCTCCACCTGCGGATTGTTGATGGTGGTAACATGGCCGAAGTCACCAATCTTGTAGGTGATCTCCTCCTCGACAGTCTCTTCTTCGTCGAAACCATCGTCAGCAGAATCGTAGTTGATGGCGAGCAACCTTTTCTCTTTGGAAATGAAGATGTTGCCGGGCTTGATGTCCATATGCACCAACTGTTTGCTGTGTATGTAGTTCAAACCCTCGGCTACGTGCAGCAGCAGCTGGCGCATTTCTGGCTCGGTGAAGTACTTTTTCTGATTCTGTAGCACAACGATTGTGTCCGCGAGACTGCCGCCGTTGCAGTATTCATTTTGGATGATCATGTGATTGTCCTCCGCCCACGCGGAATAGTAACGCACCACGTGCTCGTGCTTGCCCAGCACAGCGTGCGCCTGCACCTCGTTCAACGCATTCTTCTCGTTCATACTGCCTGCCACGGGCTTAATGCTCTTCTTGATGGCGTACGTACACCCGTCCAGTCGATTGATGCATTTAAACACTGAGCCGAATTCGCCAGTCCCGATTAACTCCACCTCGTGAAACTCTTTGTGGTACCGTAATATATTCGAATCCTGTAATGCCACGCGCTTCGTCGCGTGCTCGTATTCGTTATCGGAATCCTCGGAGTCGACGAAGTCAAACTTTGGTATTTGCATGTCCGGTGAGCAACTGCTTCTATTATTATTAAGAAAAAAAAAGATATATATATATACATACATACTTTTAAATTAGAATTATCAGGAGATAAAAATTATTAAAAATATTTTTACAAAGCAGATCTTTCTTTATAACACACTATTATGCTTCAAAAATTTTCAATATTAAATAGCTTAGTAATAAAATCTTCAATTTAATCTCAGCTAGTAATAAAGAATTTGTATTTTTGCTATATTAGACACTATGTAATATAAAAACTGACAAATAATAGATGGAGAATGAATCGTGCAGTTCAAAATACTCACCCATTAAGACTACGTTTGGATCTGGATCTTTTTCTTGCTGTCATTAAAATGCTATTAGGTGTAAATGGATTTACGTTTGCTACAGGCTTCTCAGACTTATTTTGGTAACTGGGACTTATTTTAGAAGGTCTAGGTTTGTCTAGAGAAAATCTAGAAGAACATCTAGAAGGAACCGGGGTTTGCAGCACACTCTTCTGTATTAAAGTTTTTGGTGTAGTAGGCGAATCACGTAGACATAGGGTTCTCACGCTCTTGTAGGGTGGACTGCATGCTGTTGGAATTTTTTGAGAACAACTACTAAAACGACTGAAAATGCTTGAAAAAGAGCCCTTCGTGGATGGAGTAGGTGCTGCAAAATAAATATTTATCAAATATAAATGTTTTGTAATCATCATAAATGTACCAGTAATTATGAAAGTGGTCTGAAACAACGAAAAGAAAGAAAATTGAACTTATCAATTTAATTTTTATTAAAAGAAAACGTATTGGACTTTTTTTAAATCATAAAAAAATTTCTTTTACTTTACCCAAACGTAAAAATTAAAATATCTGTAAATAAAAAAATGTATGACAGACTATTTTCATAATCACTGGCATAAATATGCTTTGCAATAAAATAAAAAAATTTTGAATGTATTAATATAAAAATTATTAATATATAACATAAATAATATATTTTTGAATATGTATGTCGAACATGCCATTATTATATTTAGCACGTTTCCTGCCGGAGCAATTTTAGGTGAATGTGTGAATCGCATGCGTCCATATTGTAAGACTAATAATTTTGCTAGTAGCATATAGCTTTCTAAGACTGAAAAAAATTGTTATAAAAAAAATATGTAACGTTAAAAATGCGCCACAGAATAAAAATATTTGCTTTAACAAGTTATTATCGTATAATTTAAGTCAAAAGAAGAAAAATATCAATAGAAATAGAAAGTTTAACAGTTTAGGATGCATGCAACTCACATGGCAAACACATGTTAAAAAAAATATTTAATATATTTAATTAAGATTAAAACAAATAATAATAAAAATAATAAACAAGCAAGAGAAAAATGCTTTAAACTAAAAAATAAGATATTAATAAATAGAAAAATAGAAAGTTTAACAGTTTAGGATGCATGCAACTCACATGGCAAACACATGTTAAAGAAAATATTTAATATATTTAATTAAGATTAAAACAAATAATAATAAAAATAATAAACAAGCAAGAGAAAAATACTTTAAACTAAAAAAATAAGATATTAATAATCCTTATCCTCTCATATTCTTCAGAAAGTAATATAAGCACAAAATTGTATGCAATAATTAGATATTATATACAAGTTTTAGTTGTGTTATTAGTACGAAATGTTCAGAGGACATCCCAAAGATATCGTATCTCTCAAAGGTATCTTTGGAATGTCTTCTGAGCATCGATCATATAATTTTTCCCGAAACTTTTCCGAAAAATGAAAACTTTTATGTGAATTGGACAATTCTATTCGAATTCACATGAAATTTTCACTTTTCACGTTTCCACTCCTAGGGAGAAATTACATGATCAATGCCCTGGACATCTTTTGGATACGTGTGCTGTGTGTATCTAGTTACTGATTTGAAAACGATCGTAATCACAGATTATCATTTAATTCACGATCGTAATTTCAGAGATTAGCTTGCAGATTTTTTTACAACAAATTTTACATGATAGCACGATGCAAAAAAAATTGGCAATTTGTATCAATATCAATTATTTTACACCATGCTTTAATACAGATTTATATGAGTGTTATCAGCTTGAAATATTCATAATAGAAATCACAGATATAAAATAACAGAAAAAAAAGAAGTTGCAGACAGAAAGAGAAAATTAACTATATTATTACAAACAAATTTTTCATTAAAAAAAGTAATATAGTAAAATAATTCAAAAATCATATAGATCTAAAAAAATATATATAAATATAAAAATTAATTATTTTAATCAAATACATTAAATTTCCAAAGATTAACCCAAATCTACATAAAATTAAAGTTGAAATTTTAATATAAAATATTAAAAAAGGCAAATAAAAATCAAAAACAATATTCTGATGATCAATGCCAAAAAATCTCTCTCGTATAGAATAAAATGTTTTTATGTATTGTAAAATTAAATGTGTTAAGTTTCTTGCTAAATTTGTTCAGGCAAGATACAAGTTACGTAGCAGGCACAATACACTCACGAGGTTTCTTGGCTCTTTCCTTGGACATATCGAGCAGCAAGCAAATGTGTACAATAGTTGAAAACGCAAAAAAATTTACGAAAATTTTTAATCTAAAACGAAATCTTCTCGAAATCTACGTAGAAACTAAATTCACAAACACAAAGAGGCCACATCCAACATGTTGTTTTTGCACACGTGGGGAATAAAGACGCCACTATGGTAGCGTGGAGGAAGGATACTAACCTTTCGCGATAGAGGGCGGAATTTTGTTATTGTTTGTTGGCTGGCCGTTTTCATCATCGTTGCAATCCATTGCGCTGAACAGCTTACGCGGTTGCAGCGGGGGCGGCGAGCCGATGTCCTCCACGGACGAGTCCAGGACACCGACGACATCGTAGTCCGGGCTGTTGTTGCGACAGCTCCAACTCAGCTCTTCGTTCTGCATATCACACGCGTCGTACTGCACCTTCTGCGCGACTTCCATATCGCGCGGAAATTAACAATATAGACACACACGCACCGTAGATTG